TGGTTAAAGGTAATAAACTGGTATGAAAGGGACAAACACAAGTTAATATACAATATCTACAGTATTTTACCTCAACCTGTCTTAAACATTAAAATGCAAAATAACTTCTGACAACTTGATGACACGATGTCCAACTCACCTCAACTATTAAGAATGTGCCTGACATGAGACAACGTGTTAAATCTGTCTAAAACCTTTTGGTAAATTAAACTCACAGCTTTCTTCGATACTGCAGTTCTTCCATCCTCTTTGCTGTAGGAGGGAGTTTTCTTGGTCCTGGAGAAGTCAAATATCTGTCTCTCTTTCGGAGTCTCTGAACATCTCCCCTGTTTGCAGTTTATGGCAGGGGACTAAAATTTAAAAATGAATTATTGGTTAAGTACAAGTGATGACAAACCACATCATCAGTGATAGCCTATTTGCTTATGTACAGGTTTTGTACCTGCTTCTTCATGACTTCTGGAAGCTGAGTGGTTTTCATTGACGACATTTTCTTCTTCAGATCAGTTAGCTCCTTCTTCAGGTTTTCCTGAGAGCAAAGAATTAAGTGTTCCTCAAAAGTTAAGTGCAAGCTGTTTCAATAAAAAGCTAAAAATCATCTAAAGACATACCTTCTCTGTCACTTGTGTCTTCAGCTGTATCTTCAGCTGATCATTATCTTTCTTATGCGTCAAGAGATCCAACTCCTGATTTTAGGTTTGGAAATGTCAGAATATAATTTATCTAATCATCATCTCATTTTTTACTTTAGTAAACACTGATTCATGATTGTTCTGCGTCATACCAGTGATTTCCGATAGGCAACAACCTCCATCTCTTTCCTCTTGTTCTCAGACAGCTCTGCATCTTTTTCTTCAACCATCCGGTCATACTGGCTCTGGTAATAACAAGTCACGCTGTACATAGACTGTTTCAGACAGCAAAACATATACTTCATTAACCTTACCTTGTGTTTTTCCATCAGTGCAACCATATCTGCTATCTTGTGTTGACACTTGAGTTCTGTATCTTCCTTTTTCTTAATGGCCTCCGTTGCTGTTGTTGTGAGCTTCTGCACCTGTAAGACAGTGTTTTTATTCAGTTCTTTCTTATTCTTAAGAGCTAAAAATGTGGTAAGCAACATAACGTTGTATAAGTAACCTCATTCTCAAGCTCTGCTGCAAAGATTGATTTGGACTCAAGATCCTTCAGCACTTTCTGATGGTCTTCCTCATTCAGTCTTTTCAAATGTTCAGACTCCTCGTGAAGACCGTTGATCTAAAGACAAACACAACCATCTATCATACAGGGCTATACTTTTACTTTGAATCTTTCATATCAATATTAAGAACTAAAAAACATAACACCATACCACAATTTCAAGTTGACTGGATTTTGCAATTTCCTTTGCTATTTGTTTGTTAAGCTTTTTATTCTGAAAATATAATAAAAGTGAAATGTTAGCTAAATCAATAACAAAGCCATCCTATTTTATATTTACAGTTCTCCTCACATACCTCTTTCTGACATTCCTCCTGGGCTTTAAGTTTGATTTCAATTTTTTTCCTGAAATTGCAGAGCTAAAAAAAACAAAACAATTTCTTGTTACTTGCAGGAAAATAATAAGCAATAACAGAATTGTCAATTTTCTGTTTTACAATCACCTTTGTTTCCACAGCTTTTATTTGTTTTTCTTTTTCTGCAATTTCCTTCTGCAGATGTTCACACTATACAAAAAAGAACAAATAAATCAGTATTTAATACTTTCAGAACAACATCTTTGTGTCATGTGATAAATGATTAAGTTAGTTACATTTTCTTCCATTTTCTTCTGCAGAGTCTCAGCTTCCTGATATTCCCCTTGGACTTTGGTCTGAATAGAAGTTACTTCCTCTCTATTTATTGGAAATATAAAAATCTAAGTCTCTAAAAGTTCACAATGTCAAAACTCTTTAGGTCTCTTAGCTGTGAACTTACCGTAAACACTGGTTTTCTTTTTCTAGTCTTTGAATTTCGCTTGTGAGCTTCACTGCCTTCTCCTCACTCGCCTGAAGTTATATTTGTTATTCACATGATACAATGAGTAATAAAACAAAACTGACATCTAACGCAAACAGCCACTGTACAAATGAAAATGATCTATCACATTTAATTAGACAATTCAGACCTTCATGTTTGCCTCAATTGCCCTCACAGTAGAAGATCCACTCTTAAACTGCTGCTGAATGGCTGTCTTCTCCGCCTGCAGCTCATTAAAGTTGGATAACAGCTCTTTGTAGTGTGCTCTAAAAAATGACACATATTTAACATTAGACATTAAGAGTATAACACTTTAATATAATATTCTACTATATATGCTTAGTGAATGATCGGCTATTAAGAACTTACTCATGCTGCATAATGTCTTTCCTCAGTTGCTCCATCTCAAAGGTGTGTTCTTTGTTTTTCTTCATTTCAGTAAACAACCGTTCCTCCAGCTCCTGCACTTTGGTCTAAGGGAATATTTAAAAACAAAACAAAAAACACAATGAAGCTATGTATTGTATATAATACACAAATCCCTGAATATTTTTATAAAAACATTTTCCCATAAAAGGTGTAAGAATGGGTAAGAGATGATGACTGTAGCAAGAAAATGAAAACCATGTAAAAACCCCTGTCACTGTGGACTTCTCCTTTAAGTCTTCCATAGCCTTTTCAGCAGATTCACAAGCCTTCTTCAGTAGTTCACTTTCAGCAAAGGCAACCTCTGCTTCATTCTGTACCAATAAAAAAAGGAAGAAGTTAGAGCGTACACTTCACGTATCTGTATTAAACTCTGAGGTGAGGTTTCTATTTGTATCACCTTTAATAGCTGGGCTTCTTTAGTTTTCCTTGAAAGCTCAGCTGTGAGTTCCTCCACTCTGACTTCAGTGACATCAATCTTACCCTTCATGGACTCGAAGGATTTTGAGTTTCTGTCCTAAGAACAATAACAGCATACCAAGAGTGTCTTCAAGTAATCTTCTGTAGTTCAGACTACAATGAATGTCATAGAAAAAAAGAATATACTCCTCTAGAAGATTAAAATACACCTTACCAGTTCATCTTCAAGGAATTTGATCTGCCCATCTTTCTTTGCACTCTCCTCCATGATCTCTCCTGTTGGGTAAACGATTTTCTTTCAGCCTGACAGAGCAGAAAATAAAAATATCTACAAATTTCACTCAGCGAGGCTTTTACCTAAAAGTGTGCTCCTCCTTTCAAGTTCCTTGCTGCTTGCCATGAGTTGATCCTCCAGTTCCTTGGCCCTTGAAAATAAGTCATAACAACAACACAACGGCGTGAGGAAAACTTGTGTTTAATCAGGACGATGCCATGAATGTTCAGGAGTTAATTATACCTCTGTATCTCTAAAGCAAGTGAATTCTGTAGCTCTTGAACAGTTGTCTGAATCTGCTCCAGCTTCTCTGCTTGTTGATTTTTAACTATGCTGAGCTCCTCCAGGTTTAAGTCTTTGCTTTGAATAATCTCTGCATATTCTTCTTTACATTGTTCCAGCATTGCAGCAACAGCTTCACGGTTTTTCTGAGGGAAAGAAAACATTTGAATCAAAGCAGAAAGAACACAACAGAGCAGAGTTTCACTGAACACACTCACCTAAGTCCACCTTCCCGGGTCTTTTTTTTTACAAGCGCTGCACTGCAGTGTGCAGTTCTTGAAGAAGAGATTCCTGTTCACTTTTTGAACTTTTGAGAAGTTCATGTTGTTCATCTGTAAGTTAAAACATACTTAATGATATTATCTTTGCTATAGTTTTCTAATTACTAAGTGTCATAATGAACTTACACTGGAGAAAAAAAATTAAAAATACTTTAGAATTCCTCCATAAGGCTACTTTTCCCCCTTTTATTATAATGTTTGCGACATTGCACACACAAGAAATAATAACTATGTCATTAGTAATAGTTTAGATAATTACTCTGTTGATTTCACAATCAAAGTGGTTGTAAAGTATACGATAAAACCAAGAGAACCTAGTCATGAGCTCACGCTGTCATTGCTTACCAGAGGAGAATTCGATTATCACTTTAACTTGATTATTTTTCAAGTTACAAGATTTGTATGGCAGCAAAACACTGTTGACAAAACACTGAATTTTGTTTCACAAGAAAAAGAAAGAAAAAAGATTTACATAAAGCTATAGATATGTTGTCTTGAAATGTAATAACGATCTCACTTGTTGCTTCTTGAAGCTGTTTGCAGTGCTTCTGGGTTTCATGGACGTCAAGCAGGATTTTTTGTAGCTCTCTTTCCTTATCCTTGAGTTTGGTTTGAAGCGCTGCAACCTGTGAACGCAGTAGCAATCCTTACGCTGTTTCTAAACTTGTGGTTACATTAAGTTCCCAAATAAATGTATCTGATGAAAGCTTTGTTTTACTAACCTCTTTCTCTTTCAGGTTATATTCTTGACGATATTTCTCTTTTAGATCGTCAAACTGCAGCAAGCCCTCTTTGACTAGAGAAAGATAAAATGGTTAATTATCTTGCTGCTGGACATATTCTCTTGCTTGTTAATGTATCAATAACTCATCTACGTCATTTAAGGTATATTTTATCCTTCATGTTATTTTCAGAGTTAGAGTTGCTGTTGTGTTGTGTTGAGCCTAGTCTCAGACAAAAAGAACAAAACCTTTCTGCATCTCTTGTTGATCAGCTTCTGCTTGGACACGAAGGCTTTCGAGTGCTGCAGTTAGTTTCTACAGAAAAAAAAAGTTATTTGTAAACTGTCTATCAAACTTTATGTCCTACTGTTTTACTAAACATTATTATTAATAAAACAAAACTTAATTATGATATAGATTTAGAGGTGTTTTACCTGAATACTTTCACTATTTTCCATAAAGAGGTGATGTGTTTCTTCTCTTTCAGATTCAACTACAAAATGTAAAGACCGGTTATTAATGTGTAATTATTAACATAATGTGGCTCTTAACATAATAATTCAAAGCATTTACTCACATAAATGCATTTTGTCAGCTGACCTCTGGAAAGTATCTTTGAGGATATTACACAAGTTCCTTGTTGCATTGTTTCTGGATATAAAATGTTGAATTTCATATTAGAAAAATATTTTATATAGACAAAACATTTGTATTTAAAAATCAGATGACCATGTCTGTGTGGCGTTCACACATCACATCTAGTATGTCTCTTTTGAACAAACAAAACCCATACTTGTTTCTCAAATCCTCATTTTCACTGATCTGTTCCTCGAGCTTTACGCTGAGACTTTCATTTCCAAACTGTAAAGACAGAGCGCACACAAGTGATACCACTACATATATGAAAGGGTGTTAGAGCACGCTGTTCCTCTATTATAAATAATCCTTTAATAAAAAAAGAATACTGTATGTATTTAGAGAGAGAGAAAGACAGATAAAAATGTGTCACTGTGGCACACACCTGCAATTCTTGAATGGCTTTGCGCTGCGTTTCAATTGTTCTTTTGTTTTCTTGAAGTCTCCTTTCCTTCTGCACCGTATCAGTGTCAACTTCCACCTTCCAACACTTAATTTTCTCAACTTCATCAAACAGCTTGGAATAAAGCCGTCCAGGATTGGTTTTATTCTGGGGATTTTTCACAATGATGGGAAGTAAAACTGACATACTTTAGAAAAAAAACATGCTGCAATGACCAAGTCTCTCCTATTCATGCTTTATGTTTTTCTACACTGGGAAATATCACCTCATCTTTTTCCATCGGTGGCACGACTTTAATCTTGGAGAAGTCTTTAAAGGAGAAACAAAAAAAAAAAACAATTCATCATAAGGTTTATGAAACATTTTTGTGCTGAAATGACGGAGCCAGTGTTGTTTTAACAGAAAATACCTTGTCTGGTTGGTTTAGCTGGTGCAACCGTGCTCTGCATGCTCTGCTCCGTGTCTAAACATTTACTGAAACCCTAGAGGAAAACAGCAATTACGCTTAGTCATCATATGTATTAACGAAGACTACACCTGCCTCCATTCATTAATGCGTTTAACTTACAGCGAGGAAAACAATGCCCACCAGAGTGCATAAGACTTATTATTATGCCGTGTGACTGTCAGTGCTGAGCTAGCATTAAAGTGTTTTGCCTTTACTGTTCATTAACTAACTTGTTGGTTAGTTTAACTTACCTGCTGCACTGTATTCATGAAATCACCACAACTCTTGAGGATTTCCTGAGGTCGAACAGCAGATACCTGTCCGTTATTCACCCTGGGAGGCACTAACAGTTTGAAGTTAAAACTCCTGTCTCTCTCCATCCTGAAACCACACAGATAGTTAACTGTTACAGCTTCTTTATTATAAAGTAATGTCTGTTTATGAGCCTTTACTGAAGTAAAAGTACTAATTTAATTCCACACATTTAATGCTCCACTACAATATATAGAGTTTTACTGAATATGGAAATAAGGTTACTCAAGTAAAGTACAACTTGTTACATAATGTAACGTTAAGTAATAAAAAATAAAAAAATAATGTTACAGAAACGTTAACTTACTTGACTATTAGCAGTTAAACGTGCTTAAAATTAATAGTTTAGTTTACTGAGCTTGAATTGTAACGTTAATGGCAAAGTGAGACTTTATCGAGACGGATATATTTTTTTTAAGTATATAACATTCATAATAATAATAATAATAATAATAATAATAATGTCAGACAACCTTCACATTGTTTCATTCACCCAGTGACTGCACATTACGTTAACCGTTGGTTAGGTTAACTAACAGTTAACAGTAACCGTTAGTTTGCTAAGAACAATTCAGTTTACCGTTACTGTTAGCGAACCCACCTTCAGTAACTCTGGGCTACCAGACATTAAAACATTTACGTTAATGTTGTCAGGACGTTAATATGGCAGACAGCAGCCGGGTAGTTACTTACATGTCGATGGTAATGTTGAATAACAACCTTTTATATACAGTCAATGATATTATCAACCATTTACTGTAGCCAGGTCAAAACGTTAGCATCAACTGCTGTTCAACCGTCCAGTGCGGGCGCGAGGACGCCTGTTCTTTGTAACGAGACGTTAACGGTTTATTTCAAACTGTAACGGCCAGCAGGAAGATTAACGTAAATCCAACGGGCCAAAATACATACGGAAAACAATTAATATATGGATACTAGTTTGTGAGGTGGTGCATAAAGGCTACAAATTACTGTCTAACCCAGGAAACTTGTGAAATGTTGATTTATGTTTTCCTGTAGATAAACTACTGATTGATTTAGTAGCGAAGTCTACATCTCTCAGTACCGTTAACTAGCGGAACTTGACCTTCGCAATATGGCGACCGCGCAGACGCATAGTGAAGGCACACAATGGGTTATCTATGTTTCTAACGTTATATCTATGGTTTTCAACCATTGACAGTATATTTCACTGCTCACTTGGGACTAAAAGCATGTCCGTCCATAGTCTGTTTGTCCCTTAATAATAAATAGCCAAACTATACCAAAATGGTATTTAACAATAGCCTATATGTAAGATTAAGATAAGTCAGCCCAAGCACTTCAGGCCATCAGCCAGAGAGATAATAATTCATAATCATAAATTCTGAAAGGAAGAGTCAAGCCATGCAACTAAAGCCTCCTTTTTACCTCCTGTTTGGTTTGGTTATATGAACAGGACATGCATTATTCAAGGCAAAATGAAATGAAAACATGTGCAATCATCTCTGTGTCCCTGAAATTCAGTACAGGTCTATTAAAAAAAAACAAAAAAACAAACAAAACTATCACATGGAAAAAGAGTAAACATGCTGTTTGGAACATTGCTTTCTATTTTGATACAAAGGACCAATGCTCAGGTCCTTTAATTGCACTACAGGCTCGACCTGAGCAAGATACTCCTACCACGACGACCCTCTCTAAAAGACATTAGTCATTACTGTAACATCCAAAATAGGCATAAATTGTGTTTAGAAGTGGAAAACAAATGCCTTCCCATCTTTGTTATAGAATTAGTAAAACTTAGTTCTTATTAGGCAAGAGATAGACCGATGGGACTATTCTTTGATATAGCCTACCCCATCTTATTAAATGTATTAATGTGACAAGAGAAAAAAAACATATTGATTAGTGGTGAAAAGCTGTTTTCTACTTCCTTAGTAAGCCCTGGCTCTGCTGGTTGAAAGTCTGTTTTGGTTTAATGAGAAGTTCTGTATTGTGCTGATTTGTATCTTTGAAAACTACCAACAATAGATTATAATATTCAACCAGTGAAAAACAGTCAGAGGTTATTTCTGTCTGCTATGAAGCCTGCTTTGTATTGTGTGAGGAGGCCTGTTATTGTTTTCATTTTTACTGTGGTTGTTATAAAATCGCAAGAGCATAATTTGATAAAATGAGTTAATGCTGTGGAGGCGTTTATTTTAATAATCATAATACAACAAGTGTCACAAATGACTATACCGTAAATATAACAATGCACTTGCTTTATAAAGGACAAATTACACAATACCGCTCTAGTTTCTGAGAAAAACAGTCTAGTGCATCTCTAAAGAAATGTTATGATCTCAGATTTATGAGAAACACAGAATACAGTTCAATACAGATTCTTGCTAAATGACAGTTTATTAGATTTTCTGGCATGTGTTCAATATACAGTAACTTGCAGTCAGTGGCACGTTTTCTTATCATGTGAATACACAAAGCTATGACGAGGTTTAATGATAATTTCCATCATCCGTCATCAAAAAATGAACGATAAAAACATGTTTAAAACAGAAATCTAGAATTAGTATGAATATATTTGTGGAATATACAATAGTGGCACCAAAGATGTTTTAAAACCTTCCAAAACTGCACAGTGCTATCAGGTCCTTGTAAACAGGAAAATGTCTTTAGAAATGTGTTTATTAGTTACACACTTTCACAGAGAATGTTTACGGACTTGTTCTCTACTGAAAAATAACTTTAATTATCTGATGGTACATTTTAGAAGGTTAAAATACTATAAATGATGTGCTGCAGAGAAAGTTACAGAGAGGTTATTGTGATACAATCTGAGATTTAAAACACAATATCCTAACAATATAAGCGACATAAAATACTAAACAAACACATATAAGAGTCCCTATAAGTTTATTAGAGGTATTTTATGTGGATTGTTTCATTAGAGTTTAAAGGGATTTAATAGATGTGTAAAAGTTTTACATCAAGTTGCAAGTGATGTTATGAGGCTAGGATTTTTGTGGTGGTCTTCAAAAACATACATTATTAAACATTTTGTTTTTAATAATAAGAATGTTTATCTGCTGTCCTATTTTTTATATATATGCACCTCAGAAATAAACAAAAATGTAACTTAAAGGTCTAGTGTGTAACATTTAGGAGCATCTACTGGCAGAAATAGAATATAATATCTGTAGATATGTTTCCATTTGTGTAAAATCACCTGAAAGTAAGGATCATTGTGTTTTCATTACCTTAGAATGAGACATTTTTATCAACAAAGGTAGCAAGCAGGTCCTCTTCTATAGAGTCCGCCATGTTTCTACAGTAGCCCAGAATGGACAAACAACACTTGCTCTAGATAGAGCAGGGCCTTTCAAAGTTTTCACGAGTTTTGTGGCCACTGTAGTTTCTAGGGCGAGACGAGGGGGTTGTAATCTGCAACTACACAGCTAGATGCCACTGAATCCTACACACTGGACCTTTAACATAGTACAGAATATTAGACAGTGTCTTCTGTGTTCCCAGCTTCTGCCACCTCCTTTGCAGCACTGCCCCTGCTGAACTTTTGTTCTCTACCACCCACCCTGGCCTTCCTCTCCTCTTCTTTTTTCTCTTTGTCCAGCAGTCGATAGTTGAGTCCCATCCCTGCAAACAGGAAGACACTGGAGACGATGAGGAGGATCCCACAGCCCTGGTATGTGTACTTGTAGTCATGATAGATGTCTTTGAACTTCCCTGTGAAGAAAAAAAAACAGTCACATTGAATAATTTTTTAGTCACTGTCAACATTAAGCTGTGGTAAAACTACACAGAAATAAATTAAAATTAGACTATGTTCACACTGCAAATCTTAGCACTCAAGATTTATTCCTTACTTTTTTTTTGTTTGGCTGTTAACATTATTTTTAAAATGTGGCCTATATCACATTCTGGTGTGAACAGGTCAGTGTCCCGCGTGACAAATGTTGATCTAGAGTGACATTAAAGTCACATTAATTCTCATATGACTGTTCACACTCAGATTGCAAAAAATCAGACCTGTATTTGAGTTGGACCTCCTATGAAAGTGGCCCAAATCATAATTGAAATGATCAGATTCCACGTTATTTATGCTGTTTACACTGTTGTTGGCTCACATATGAGCTAGAAAATCTGATTTGAGCCGCCTTCAGTGTGAACGTAACCTTAGTGACAGTGAACTGATATACTCACCAAGCAAAGGGGGCCCCAGCAACACAGGACCACACTCCACAATAGTGACCAGCCCAACAGCACTGGAGAAGCGCTGAGTTCCCACCAGGTCCATCAAAGTCTCAAACAGCACTGAGCTCAGCCAGCCAAAAGCAAACCCAAAGAAGATGGCATAAATCACAAAGCCTTTGTAGTCTACCGATATTGGTGCTAGAACGTGGCAAACACCGTTGTACAGCACAGAGGCAGCAAAGAAGTACTGTATTCTGGGCCGGACCCACTTGGTGTTAGCCACAATGCCCATTGAGGGCCGGGCAACCATGTCAACAAAAGCCAGCACAGACAGTAGGAAAGCTGCTTTCTCTTTAGGGATGTCTTTACTCTTTGCATAATTACTGAGGAACACCAGTGGTGCAAAGAGACCAAAAAACATGATAATATTGCCCATAATATAGAGCAAAAAACCACGGTGCTTGAACAAAGAGAGGTCGATAAAGCTGTTAATGGTCTGTGATACAGTCCTCCTCTCTGTGGTCTTCTCTGCAGGTTTGGGTTTTGGTCCTATAGGCCGCATGAGGGAACCGGCAACACAGCAGTTGAAGAGGAGGCCACCCAGGATGAGGAAACTTCCTCTCCAGCCAAACTTGTCAAACAGCCAGGTGTTTATAGGAGCCATGGTGGAGAGAAAGACAGGGCTGCCAGCCATGGCAATCCCATTGGCAATAGGCCGCCTCTTGTAGAAGTACTTTCCAATCATAGTGAGGGCAGGGTTGAGGTTGAAGGCCAATCCCAAACCTAAAATAATCAATTTAGGAAAAAGTATAAATGTATGAGTTGGAGAATAGGGATTTGAGCATTAAACAGTGTTTGGAGATTCAAAGTATTTCTTGATGTTTTTATTTTTGAAAAAAACACTAGGTGGCAACAGTGCACAGTAAAAAAAATATGTGACTCATGACCAAACTTAAAAATATAAGACAGTTAAAATTAGGTACCTCCCACCACACCAATACAAAAGTATAGTGCTTGAACAGAGTTGCAGAAAGAGGCAGCAATAAGGCCCAATCCAGACAGACATCCTCCCGCCATCATAACAGGACGACTCCCATATTTATTAACCAGGATGCTGCTGATAGGACCTGAAGAGCAAAAAAAAAACAAAAAAACAATGCACATACACACATGTTAGAAGCTCTAAGACAGTGATTTCTATCCAATCATCAATGCACAGTTCTATATTTAACCACCAGAGAGCTCCAGTGCCACAGCTGTGTCTCAGCAAATTCAAACAACTTCTGCAATCATCTTTGTCAGTGCTGCACTGCAGTGGATGTGTTCTCATGCCATTAATAATGCGATCTGTCAGAAAAACCATGAAAGCCGTAATGAAATAAGCATTTATTTGGCTCAGGGATTCATAAAAATTGACAGAGGTATAATTTGTTTGTGGATTCTTCTTAAATGGACTTTAAACGCATCTGAAATGATTATTGGAAGTACCTCTGTTCAGACAAATGTATAAGTGTGTGTGTTCTGGAAGGGAGTTGAAGGGACTGGTGTGTGTGTATAGGGTTAAAACAACAACTTCTTAAGTACATATTTTTGCAATTTTGACACCTGGTGCACTAGTTCCAAAGACAAATAGTAAATCAAGGTATTCATATGCACGCACCATAGATTCAACAATTCAAGAAAATCACTATGACTTGTAAACAAATGACTAAAATGCACTTGGGGGGGAGGGGGTCAGGTCACAAAAGACCATCTCCATCTACAGCTTATAACAACCAGCCTAAATGAGTATGAGGAACCACATGGAAGACACTTCTGCCTTCCTGCCAAATCCCTGCACTACCCAATGAAACTAAATAGAAACTGACAGTTTTTGTTTAGAGGTTGTCCAGACTCATTTGCCAGCACGGTGCAAGACAAAGGGTTTTTAAATTGTAATGCAGGCAGTCTCCACACTAGCAATGAGTTCTTTCCTTCCGCCTTGCAGGGAGAGTTGCTTAGGATAAAAAGGTTGGAGACAGACCAATGTAGAATATTATGAATGTAATGAATCAAAAATTGAAGGAGTACAGAGGTACGCAACAGTAGGCTGTTAATGAACTTCTCCTGCTGATGTGCACAGAATGTTTAACGCATACGGTAACAGACTCAGATGTCATCTACTCACAGCACGGACAAACATTTCCTCACTTACTTACTTTCAATTACCATGCATAGCTTGCCTTCATCTGTGTATATTTACATCTGAACATTTGCATTAATTAACAATGTTACACCTGAACATGCATATTGTGCGCTCTGTGGTCCATAACTTGTTCAGATAGGTGCATATCTTACTTTTTCAGCCATGAAAATGTGGTAAACCCACACAAGTTTGGAACTATTATGTGCTACTACTGATAAATAAAACACTAAATAATAACATAAGTAAAGGGAAAGACAAATTAAGCATAATCAGATTTTCTCAGTGACCTTTAACCACTGCAGGGAATTTGCTGCTGAACCACAACCAGCCTTGATTACTTCATGAGGAACACCATACTTCTGTTGTACGGTAATGAGCTTAAGTTGTACGTGAAGTTTTGCTCGCCTTTGACATGTAACACTGTTGTTGACACATAAGTTATGTAGCACAAATAAAATATACAATAGAGAAGAATTTAGATGTAATATGTTCAACAATATGTTGAATGCAATGGATGCAATTCTGGATTGATAAAACAAAAGTTGCCACTGTTATTTTATTGCCTGCACATCTTGCAAATACATTTTACACTCAGAATATAAAATTTGATACAAAGTAGTTTTATATGGTGCACTATTTTCCACTTCACATCAGTTTGGCACACTAAAGCAACTTTTCTGAAACTTCCCTGAGATTAAAAAAAGATGCCTAAGTCATCATTTTCCTAGTTTATCACACGTTAGAGTAAAGAGAACTGCAGTGTTTTGATTTTAGAGCAGACAGTCTTGAGGGACAAGGAGAGCTCCTTTGAACTCTTGTTCTCTTCGTGATGAATATCACGGACATGAATAGACCCTTATCATCACCTAACTGGCCAGACCTGAGTGTGTGACATCACCCAGCGTCTCTCATCAGTGCAGGAACACAACCAAACCCCCGGTGGTTTCCACTCTCAAAGCACAAGGGGAAAACAATAAGCGGGTATACAAGGCTAAAACCCATTCATGTGCTCCAGAGACAGATAATGTTGCACTTTCATAAACAACACTTCAATAGATGAGTCACAGTATTGTTTTATCTCTGTATGAAAGTTTGATTTAAGCCACTCTATAACTCTGAGAATCTGTGGCCTCTTTGTGGACAAACCGAGGCTGAAAGGCTACAATGCAAGTCTGTTTTTGATTTAAAAAGCAATGTATTGACTTTTAACTGAACACTCCAGGAATAAATCTTTTACAGTTTTGCTAAGAGCCAGAAATTGATTCAGTCTATAAACCTTCTTGATGTGCTAAATGCCAAGTGTTAACAAACCCATGTTTGGCAGGTTGCATTTTGGGTAGAAGCTCACCTCCGCCGTACATGACTGCTAACATGATGGAAGAAATCCAGGACACCTGGCTGCTGGTCACATCAAAGATCGCCTCAATCTCTTTGAAGAAGACAGTGATGGACTTGGGGAACGCATAGGAGAAGCCAATAGAGATGAAGGCCCCAGCTACCACCATCCATCCCCAGCCACCTTCAGGTGGTGTGTAGCCTTGAGGACCACCGACAGCAGGTGCCATTTTCACTCACAAAACTCCTCTTTAATTTCAGTACGTTCTATAGATGAGGACCTGTTCAGGAGAGAACAAAACAGCAAAGAAAATTTGTTGATTTGTTTTTGTATATTTTTAGGATTTCTGTTAACTATTCATGAGCCAGAAGAACTTAAATGTAAAAGATTTGAGTGAAAAGATCCATTGATAGATATATCAAATTGTAAAATTTGTTGACTTTGTTTTGTCCTCAGTTTTGAAACATTTGACATCTCAGAACATTTTTCTATCGACTCTGTGAATGGAAAACATCAGCAACAGTTTAACTTGTGATCTTGTCACACATTCGCCTGTAAGGTGCCTGGCAAATGGTTATAAAGCCTTTCATCAACTGAAATCAAACTGGACAATAAAGAGAGGAATTGCAGAGACTAAATATGAAAGGAATCAATTTTCTCACAGTTTTAACAATCAGTGTTTCAAGAAAGTCAAAAGAAAGTCAAAGTAGGATGTTTTAACCCGTTCGTTTCCCATTTACGTCCCCATCTGTATCATTGCAGTGCATTTTGGGTGTTTTTTGCATCATGTAAGTTTATTATTATATTATATATTATATTACACTGTACAGTAGCTAGTGTATATATATATATATATATATATATAGTTTATTGTATACAAGTATGCCTCCCACTAGGGTATATATGTTGTGTTTTAGGGTATTTTGTTTTCCAAAGACCATGAATGTGGGAAGATGCTGCATACCCGTTTAACTGTTGGTGAAGGTTTTCATTTGCAAATTTGATGCAAAACTGTTCAGAGCTGCGGATGTCAAATGTTTCAAAGCTGGGAACAAAACACTGTGTTCACGTCAGACAGACAAAATGACAAAGAATGAATACAAAAAATAACAAAATTGCTTCTGCAGAAGCAAAACCATTCTCACCCTTAAATTATACAATTATAGTCTTGTTTTTATCTTTTCTATCCTCAGTGGTGCTTGTCACGTCTTTTGAATAAAAAAAAAAGATTTTACCTCCTATGTTGTAGATATCTATGTTGATTTGTGTCTGTCAGTGTCTTCTTCCACCTGTCTCATGGCCTCTAACCTCTCTGTTGTGTCTCATTTTCAGTACTAACTGACCAAACTGGCCTTCTTACTCTCTGTTAGTAGTGGGCTTCTTACTTGTTTCACCACCAACATATGCAACAGTCAGTACAGACTCTATATACTGACCTATACGTATCTCTGAGTCCCTCTGCTTTGCTGACACCTCATGTGTATTTGGTAAGTGATCAGATTTGTCAAACAACATTTCCTTTACTTGATATACGAGTTTAAGGAAGATGTTTTGCTTTGCTTTGAATTGCTTTCTGTGTGTATTCACTGAGCTCCCACCCGCTGACCTCACACAGTCTCACTTTAGAGGTGATGAATAAGAGTCCATCTGCAGAGTCAAACAACTTACTGTATTGTTTACACAGGGGAGAGTATCCAGAGAAAACATCGATCAGACCATGAACACAGGTTGAATTCACACTGCTCAATAGCTCAGAGCTATGCTCAAGAGTGGGTGATGATATAGTGTTTTTCAGCCAAGGAGGACTTGATGTGGTTGATGAATTGGTTTAGTACTCTGAAAACTTATTGGATAAGCCAGTTGTGTGCAGCGAGTAGTGAATATTTAATGCATTAAAGAACATTTGTTATTGAACTGGGATTTTAGCTGCGGCTATACAGCTATAAATGTGCCTCCTGCATTATTCTACAGATGCAATAGGTAATGGAGGTGAAGTAAGAACTTGTCTCTTATTTATTCAGACATTAAGGGTCACTGGAATAATAGTAACCCCTTGGGTGTAACAAATTAAATTCCTGGGTAGATATATATAGATAAATATATATAGTTAACATATTTGAGCATAAACAAACTGTACAGAAACTATAACATAGGGATGTTTGCTGTTTCAAGCTTTTACTTTGAACAGCACCATCAGGGGAGGTGGAATTGTTAGGATAAGCTATTACATACCGTGTGTGCCTATTGTTTAGTTATGTAATAGTGTTACAGGTCTACACAACTGAGGATTTGTAAGACTGACCAACAGTGTCAATGATTAACAACTGTAGTGCATTGGAATTGCTTATGTGGTTTTTCCATACATTGAAAAGAGAAGCTCGATATCAGTGTCTGTGTTTAATAAATAGCTGGTGTAGTTAGCTTAGCATAAAGACTGGAGGCAGGGGAAAACAACTAGCCTGCCACTGTCCTGTCCTAAGTTAAAACGTACAAGATACAACTACACTAATAAACATGTATGTCATTTGTTTAATATGTAGATGTATAAATGACAAATTGTGGTTTTAGGGGGAGTTGCTGCTGAAACTAGGCGTATTTTTTTTAGGTCTTTCTCTCTGTTTTCACACTGAGAAATAAACTGAGAAATATTTCCTAGCATGTTAAACAATTTCCAGTAATTGCTTTGCTCCTTTTCATTTGTTGTCAAGTTTAAAGGTGTATATTTCTAACTCCTTAGAATTTTTCAGTCATGTAGTGGTTCATTGTGACAGTTAAACTGTTGTTTTGATAAATAGAAGTAGAAGGTGGATGTTCTGGATTTCCCTTTACACCCGTCACATTTCCCACTCTTGAAAATTGAAGGTCTGCATAACCACATGAAAAGTTGGTTGAAAGATTTTTTGAGAACAGTCACTACACATACACCAGTCGGCCTCTCAAATAGGACAGTATGCTGGGGAAATGTTCTTCACTGGTAGCAGAGACAGTATTTTTAAAGAATGAAAAATTCAGTGGTTGACATTAGATGATGAATGGAGGAACGCCTTAAGACAGACAAGACTCCAGATAAAATGGCAAAACCGCCAAAATAATGAATAAAACGGATCATTTTATACTAAGGATTGATTGCTTGGCTCTACAATTGAGAGAAAAGTATCAAACAATTCAGTGAAAACTGCAGAGTTGATTCATTTAAGCCAGTTATAGGAGAGTGAAAATCAGCAGACAAATGGACAGAGGCATCAACACTAACCCCCTCATATTGTAAAGGTCTAAATAAAGCAGTCAAAGTGGGCAAGTGCCACTTGACAACCTACACATACCAAGCAGGGTGGGCTCAGCAGAGGACATTAGTAGAAACACAAGAGGATTTGCAGTGACTGCTTAAAAGACTGAATTTTCTTTTGAATTAATTTGATTAACACGGGTCACTTACTCAAACTACTGTTAAGACCTTGGGGTTGGTTTGTGAAGAGATGAAACCCTGTTGTAGGACTTGCCCACATTAGCAGAAAGAAAACTGAGGCAAACGACTTTTCTTTATCATCCATGTATTTAGAGACCCCACTTCTACACATTCTCTCAGGAAAATATTCCCTTTAATTTGTTAAATTCTGATTTTGTTTTAGCCACAATGAAATAAATAGGTAAAACAAAATTATCTGGAATAATGTTGAATGAACATGAGATTTTACATCTTTGGCAAAATGTTTGTGCTTCTGGCGAAGGAGTTTTCATTCATTCTCCCTGCAACCATGCTTTGGGCCTCTTATCAACCAAGGTTTTCAACACCACTTGTTAGAGCTAGTGAATTTGTCAGATTAATTATAAATGAGAATCACACACTAAATATTTGCTCAGGGAAATTGCACTCTCACATAATAAGTATTGTTATAACACTGACAAAACTATACATCTTTCATGAATGACCAGCTGAAAATGTACTACTTATGCAAGTAATTATTTTTAAGTGATTTTTGGCAAATGTTAAATGTGCATAGTGTGTGTGTGTGTGTATGTCAAGCCTCTTACCTTGGCAGGAGCTCTTGAACAGGGCCAGATGAGCTCTGCAGATAAACAGCAGTCTCGGAGGCACGTTAACACACTGCAGACGTCATTGAATGGGACTGAGCGTCTATATCCACTGTGACAGTCCAAAAGTTGCCAGTGGCACCTCAACCTCAGTCTTCATCTGTTTCCAGTAAATAAAGTAAAGCTGAAAAGTTGAGTTCATTCAGTGCCCAGATCAAACAGTTGGACGATCTGGACACTATGGTGCTAAATGTTGAGGTCAGTCAGGTTCTTATTGGCTGTGGGAGGCTTAGTGCCGTGCCCCTACAATGCTTTCTCCACCCCTCTGTCATGTGCTGAGCTCACACAGAAGGTTAGAGTAATTCACTGCATGGCCCTATACTATGTCTGACCTGAGAGGATATCAGAGAATGTCTGCACTCCAAGAGATAAGATGCTTTCTAAGACTCTGATTTCCTGCATTAGCTGATTTATCAGTGCTTTTCAATTGAGTATTGGCTCTTGCAGCTATATAAGAAATCCGGTTACTTAAACAACAGACATTGTTTACCTCAAGAAAGATTTCTGAACACTTCAGGGGTCAAATCTGGTTGAGCTTTTCTCCCAAACTCCCGGAGGAGCTATTCATGAGTTTGTAACATGGCTTGGGAAAGGAAAGGCCTGAGTACAGGAGGTTATTGAAACAGTGTGTATTTGCAAAGTGCCTTTAAATTCTTGACACCCTTGAAACATTATTTCCCTTCATACGTTGTTTTATGTTGTTCCCCTAATTTTTCTATTCCTATAAGGACTTTTATTGGTTTTCAAACAAAGGATGCAGGAGAGCAACACCCCACGTACACTCCAGGGCAGAGTGTGAAGAATGGAAAAGGATGTGGGACAAAAACCTTCATATTTGCCCACTCAAACACACACACACACACACACACACACACGTTTAATTACATGTATTTATGCAATCAAACTTCTAAAAACGGACACTCCAAAGAATTGCCACCATAATGGCGTAGTGGGGTCTGTGTGTCCCTGTGATCCTGGAGGCTGTGTATTGTCGGGGGCAATAGCTCATGGTAGGATTTCCCAACGCAAATTGGTCCAATGGGAGGGGCCAGACTAAGAGCAAATTCAAAGACCCTGTATGACTTGGCCAAGAAGGAGATGCAGCACCTCGCCTGGAAAAGGGAAACTGGAGCCAGACCGGGGAGGAGATGTCACCTATGAACACCTGGTGGCCGGGCTCCAGACTTGTGTTTTGTGTTTATAATGTCTAAGTGCAGACATGAAACAGTAATGTCAATGTAGTGACCATCATTTTTTACATGTGTCATTGTGCGCCGTCACTAATAGGATCATGTTTTCATATGTGTGAAGATGGTTAAGTTTTAATCTTTTATGGTTCAAGCAAGCTAGTCTATCGCTGTCTTAGCCTTGCTATTATGACACATCTTTTATAGGGCCGCATTAGTGGATACAGTTGGTACCACTATAGATATAGTACTGGGGCCGATGCTACAAGCTATGTCTGTATTCTCGGCACAAAGTCAAACACGTTTTCAGTGGGTGTTGGACTCAACCAACTATTGGATGGATTGAAATTATAATTTTTAAACCCCTCAACAGAGTAAGATTTTCTACTACCTGGTTGCAAGAATAAGGAACGCAGCACATGCAGATCAGATTAGTAAGTGGGTGATGACAGACTGATGACCTCATGTATTGATGATGTACTTGAGTTCAAAATCAGAATCTTGTTGTGGGCACGACGACGAGTTATGAGTAAACACAGAAGACTAAAAAGTTATAGAATTATCTTTCAGCTTTTTTCATGAATCATAACATTTCCTCTCTGCAGGTAGCACATGTTCTGTGGTCTCATACAGTCTGCAGCTTGGGTGTTAAGAACCACTGCTGTAAATGACCTTATAGCTTTGTCAGAGGGATTAAAATTGATTACCGTAACTAAGCTATGTGAAACACGGCTCCTATACAGTATAATAAGCTGCAGTAAAACAGCTATACGTACTCAATCAAACTAGGACATTCTCAGTCAACACACACCAACAGTGTTGTCTTTGTTCGTTACTCCAAGAAACCACCATGTTCTTAAATGCAATGTTTGCTGTACCCTACCTCATCAAGTGTACGGCATGTACCTCTTCTTTTACTCACATATTACCAAATAAATCCAATCTTACATAAAATAAGAGCATGATGTGTCTCATAAAGTTGGTAATTTTAATAAAAACAATGTCAGCAGTGCAACCAAGAACCAAATAAACATTGCACCACCACTACCTCCAGCATTGACTGAACTGAGGTAATTGCACCGTGGCTCACAAAATTGACACTCACAGGTCAAAAGTCAGTGGCAATTACCTTTTGCCCAGGCAAGGTGGAACTGATGAAAGTAGAGTAAATCCTGGCTTGCTGAACCAAGAGAGAGCGGGGTCTTCATAAAGGTCAGGGTGAGGGCACAATGTTACAAAAGCCAATTAGCTCACACATACACGTAGGAAAACATCTCTTCCTTATAGTGGATGCAGTGACAAAGAGAGCTTTCACCTGATGCGATGCATAAAAATGCCTTACTGTACTTCCAGTTCAAACGACTTTCACATAAACGCTGTGTGTGCTTCTCTCTGTCCCTCTCAGGACAGGAAAGCTGGTCTTGGCATACATTTTCTACTGTGGAACAAGGCCAGGCAACAGAGTCACTGAGACACTGAGCCTGAAAGTGACAGAAGGTCTGTCCAGCTCTGGCTTCGACAGCAATGCATCATTCAGATTCAGATTGATTCTTTATTGTCCTCAGTGGAGGAAATTTGTTTTCACAGTATGTACAAAAAGCCACCTCGAATGACTTCTACACACAAATACACATAGTTAACATATACAGACATATACACATATCTACGACATATCAAAACAGGAGTGCATCGTTAAACTTGTCTGTGAGTTTTACGCTCTTATTAGCGCAGGGTACAAAACTTATCATTTGCTCAGGAAAGCAGTTCAGGGGACATTAGTCTTTTGAATGGCTTATAATAAGGATATAATGGACTTTTTAGATCCTTGCGACTCAAGGCGTGTATTGCCTCATCACAGTGGCACTTTTTGGATCCTAAAAAGGAAGTTTGTTTTATCTCTGAGGACTAGAACTAGAGGCATAAACAGAACTATGACTGTATTTAACTAGCCCTACTTTTTAAGCACCAATTGAAGTTAGCAATGACCCGCTTTGTTAGGTCTTGTTAACATATTTAGATATCTCCTGCTTTAAGTGGCCTATTTGCACATTCAGCAGTTGCAGAGTAATATTAGAATCAATTTGCAGTCACATTTCTGACTACCCAATGAATATTTACTTCTCCGAATGTTTACTCTCCTTTTAGCTCCATTTTATTCTGCAGCGACTCCTGAGGGAAATATCTGCCACTTTAAACTACTAAAGGCTCCTCCATGTTCACCAGCTAGTCTCTAACTTTTTCTGTCTGCTGTTTGGTGTTGAGTAGGTTGCGTACAATTGGTTTATCAGAGCTTTTTGGCTAAAAACAGCTGCCTGCTGTGGCTGAAAATGACAGATTTTCATCTGATGAGAGCTGTGAGAGTGAACCAAAACAGTTAAAAACCTTTACAGACCTGAGGGGAACTGCAAAGTTAAGTTATAATTATCTGGGTGTTCGACACTTTGAACAAAACCTTTCACAAACAAGTCGTCTTGTGCTTCATTGGTAAAAATATATTGATGATAACTGCTTTAAGTTTAATTGGACTGCTTTAGGAGGCTTGTGCTGTTTACCCCAATATATAGTGCAACATTTGCATTAACCAGAACAGCCACAATTAAGACTAGGTTGAAAGTGTTAACTTTCCTCATAGTAAGGTATTGGTACTGACCATACAGAACTTGATTCCTAATTATTTTTTCTCATCTTAAAAAACTTTTAATTTCATGTTAAAATTAAAAACCATTTGTCCATGGCAATTTTAAAATTAACCTAGTCATGTATCACAGCCAAACTGTGTCAACATTTAGTAGTGGGTGCATCCTGGATAATGATTACAACAACTCGGTTATTTTCGAGATACACCTGAGTGCATTAACGCCATTACACAATTTAATCTTTCTAATTTGTACCGTGTTGTGTGGCTAAACACAAGGGTGCATTCTAATGTGACCAGCATACAGGTCTGAAACAGGGCTGCTGCATCAAACACACAGAGGTATTGTATCAAATGGGGAGTGAATACTTTGTTTCATATAGAGAGCATATTTCAGTGTTTTCACACAGAATTTGAGACACACATGGAACGCAATGATACATACCAATGGGCGCCACAAAGGGTGTCCAGTGAAAAGGTCGGAAACTACAACTCTAGTGAGGTATCTGATAAATACATCACTCACTCCAGCTTTGTTTTGATCTTTTGTTTGTTTACAAGCCTCCTCCCATCTAACACGCACACACACACACACACACACACACACACACACACACACACAGTGTATAGTCTCTCTCTTATGGAGTGCTTCAAGCTCTCCTTTGTGCTGACGGATATCCGGCTATACAATACTTGCCATAAGGTCCTCAACCTCAGCCCATTAGAGGTTGTGCTAAATTGAGGGCACGTGTAGCCCTGCACAGATTTTCTCCTCCTTTATTCCTTTGCTTTGGACATTTGTCCGCACAGTTTTCCAGTGCAGTTTTTAGCATAAGGGGCTGCTATGTTTTAATGAACGTAAAGTATATTAAGAAACATCCATCTTAAAATGCAATCTCACAATGCCCGCTGTAGACAGAGAATTCTAATTTAGCAGATTTTGTTGTTATGGTAAAAAGTTATGGTTACACACTTCCTCACCAAAACACAATGTAAATATCCTTGAGGTCTAACAAATATATTAGATGGATTTCTTTCTCCAAAACAACATTTTCAAAGACAATTTTTAATAGTTTTCCTCATTGCCTCCTTTGCAGATGCATTGAATGTTACCATATTTACATTATTCAACTGGGTAACAGGCAGTGCTATTAACCAGGTGAATAATGTAAAACCAGCAGTAAGAAAGTGTCCATATGTACATGCATGATTCAAACAAAACCTACACATAAAAACATTGCTCCATAGCACTATTAGAGGTCAATAACTCCATAAAAGGGTGCCTTTTATCAGGCTACATATGCTATTAAGGTTTCTATAATTATTATAATATAATAAGTAACTAACATGAAAATGT